GACCAGCACAAACTTTGCCTATTACACAAAGTCATCATGTGGAAAAAATGTCTTCAGTTTGGCCAAAACAAATAAATTAGATTCGAATGATCCTACAACTTGGCATGCAAACCAACTTAAAGAATGGCTTGCTGAACATGAAATAACATATAAAGGAATTCTTGAAAAACACGATTTAATTGAATTGGTAAAATCTAACTTTAATTCATCCTATAATAATAACGAACCGAAAACTCAATCCAACGCTGAGGCTATAAGTTCTCATGTTAGCAGTTTTATCACTTATATTGGCGAAAGTGAGTAATGATTAATTGGTTTTTTTGCTCATGTTTTTCGTGCACAGTCTTATATTTTCCTATGTAATAATAGGTTTAAATTATACTAAAGAGTTGACGGAAGATGAGCTTAGTGGATATTCTCAAAAAATTGCTGATAAAATTGAAAATTTACGACGTTTGACTGGATTGTCCGAAGATCAATTGTCCCCAATATTTGACGAAATCAATTCACAATTAAAATCAACTAAAACAAATGTAAACAAAAACTTAACCAACGCATTAAATGAAATCGAACGATCATATAATTTAGCTAAAGCAAGGAGAGACGTATTAATTCAAAAATCATCAAATCTCATTCAACAGGATATTCATAATTATAAAAGCATTAGTAATGATACAATCGAATGGTTTAAAAGTGAATTTAATCAATCCACCAACAATATCGCAAAAGCCAGAGTTCTGCCACAACTTACACTTGTAATACATGGAATTCAAGAAGAATTGTTTAATCGTAATGTCTTGGCACAAGAAAGTCTTGAGGAACTCTCCGAAAAATTAACATCAGCAGTTAAATCGACATTGCCCTCTTATGGGGATTATAAAAAATCATTTATTAGTACCCTAGGTCATATTGGACATGAGTTGATTAAAACAATAGGTGGTTACAAATTGCTAACACAAGAAAAAATACAAAATGCATTAGATAATATTAATCAAAAATATTACGATGGTAAAAGCTTGACATTAGAACAATATAGGCACATTAAAAATATATTCAGTAAATATTTTAATGGTTTACTCAGCTTTTTCAGTTCTGTTACAAATAAAATTAGGGGAAAAGGACGAGAAACAGTAGAGACAGTAGATTATAATACTGAACGATCAGTTAATTATATTAAAAATTATTTTGACGATTTGATTAAAAACCAAAAAAATTATAGAAATCAAAAAATTGATCAATTATTGGATGTTATGATTAATCAAGTTTCTTCCACACAAAAATTGACAAATGAACAACTTGAGATTTTATTTGAAACATTAAAAGATAAACAAGGACCATTCAAAAATACCAAAAGTGTCAAAGATGTTACCGAAGATAAAATCAATGCATACATCACATTATTAAGGGATAGATTTAAGACACTTGGTGAAAAAATCGGCGATACAAAAGATAAAGTTGGTGAAAAAATTATTGATACAAAAGATAAAGTTAGTGAAAAAATTATTGATACAAAAGATCAAGTTGGCCAGAAGATTTTTGATACAAAAGATCAAATTACAAAGAAGGTAGATGATTATAGAAAAGAATTATAAAGATCAAACAAATTAGTACCACACCTTATTTGCTTTTATACATATAAGATATAATAATTCTTTGTTGTCAAAAAAAATTTTTTCTTAAATAATAAATATTACTTCTATTACTATATATGTAATTATTATATGCGTTGAGATTGTTCATTTTCTAAGTTTAATGAGTTCAAATATTTGAAATCCTTATAAATCAAAAAAATATTTTTATCAGTTGGGAGATATATAAATGGATCAGAACTATCTTGAATCCTCATTGGAGATAGCAAACCATGAATGTTTGCATATTGAGCTTTAAATTGTTCTACAAAAATTGCTGTATCAAAAGTAACTATTGCATGAGAATCAAGTCTAGGGACATTTTTTAAATTACCATGAAGACAATCACATAGACCATTATTTTGCAATGTGTTTGTAAATCTGATAATATATTTTCACCAATATTACAAATTTTTAAAAATATCTTTTGACAAATATATATATAGGTGAATTATATTGATGCTTATATTTGTCATTGATTTGTTTTTTATCTTTCTTAAATTCAAAAACCATTAATTGAGCTTTAATACAAAGATCTTTTTTTCATCTTCAATCCTATCATTTCTAAAATTTCTTAAATCCAATCTCTTCCAACCAAATTTTTTTACTACGACAGGAACAATTACTTTTATTATTATTAAAAAAAGATTTTAAATCATGAATTCTATTAAGAGCTAATTCATCTTCTAATCCTAGTTCAACTAAATTATATTCTGAATAAAATTACTTAATCCAACTTATTGAATTAAATTTTCAGACAAGTAGTTATATCTTCAAATGATTTTATAGTATTTTCATAAATTTGGTGAATGTGTAAAACATTTTAAAATATATAATAAATAAATTTTTTAAAAAAATATGAACGAATGCGGAAATTTATATATGTATAAAAAGTTCAAAACGTCATTTTTATTTTTTATGTTTAAGATCGACGTAAGATCGAAATTATGTATTATGTCGTGTAACCCATTTTGGGTTTACAATTTCACTTGTGTTGGCAGACATGTTGATAGTAGGTGAAGTAATAGACTAATGAAATATATTCTTTTCAGATTCAAAATTAATTATTCATTCCTTTTGATCATAGATCTCAGATATATGAAAAAGTGTATTTTTGAATGTTTATCTGATTTATTACATATAAAAAAAGTGTTTAATATCAAAATTACCTCACATGAAACATTGCCTATCTTGCCAATACATTAAAACGATGATATTAGTATTAGATAAAATAGCTTCAAGCCCTCTCTGATTTGTATTTCAATTCTAATTTTCCTGTTTTACTTTCTGACTAGGGCTTGAATTGATTGGTTGAAACATTGCTCTGACAGCACTTGTGTTTGGCTTTTCTTTTCTCAGGCATTTTAATATGGAACATATGTTTAGTCACACCATACATTCATTCTTAAAATTGTAATGAATAGAGTAATTTAGTTGATGGCCATATTTCATCACTTGATAGAAATAACATAGATCCCCTACATTGACACTATAATTATTTCAAGATGATAAAGTCAGTATTCACTTGAGTTGAGAAGCTGTTCTCTAGTTTCTCTAGTTTTAGTGAGATATACGTTAATTTTGTTTCATCCATTCTGATTTATTTGTTTTGGCCAAACTGAAGACATTTTTTCCACATGATGACTTTGTGTAATAGGCAAAGTTTGTGCTGGTCTATTGTTTAATTAAACCAGTATATCTTAATGTAAGGTACAGATTTGCCTTAGAAACTATATAAATATAAATTAAAAATAAAATCATATCCTTCCACTTTAAAAAACAGCTGTGTTGTTGATTCTAGTGTTATTATTATTATATTAATATTCTTCATATAGAGTCATTCTACTGTTGTTATTCTTTCAATATCACTACCATCACTGTCACCACTACACTTTTATGATGAACTGGAAGTGATAGATTTATGAAAAATTACTTTCTAAAAGATTTTAAGATTTTAAAGTATTGGACATTTTTTGTTATATTTATTTAACTAGAAGGACAACAATGATTACAACTACCATTATTTTTAAATTTCCCTCTTCTGACAATACTTACTCATTTGCTCTTCTTCTAATGTATGTTTGATATTCAACAAATGGGTTTAAAAAAATTATTTGTAGATCAAAAAAGATTTTATCATAAAAATAAGATAGGAAATGACAAATCTATTGAAATATCAAATACTTCCAATAATGATAATCATTAAATTGTCATTTCCATATAGAAATGTGTATTTATTGTTTTACATATCTTCATTCATTCATTCGTTTATATACAAGGATTATAGTTTATGGAAGATATTAATAAATAATATATCAATTTACAATTCATTAGAAATAATCTTTGGACAACATCAATAAATTTGCAAAATAATCATAGTGAAAATAACAATAACAATGAAAATAATGAAAAACAACCAGATCCAATGCTTTATGGTAAATATGTTAATGGATAATAAATTATTATTATTATTGGATTTTTTTCTCTTACACTTTATCAATCAATATTAGAACCTGAAAAAATTCCACCTACAGACAATATAGCTGTTTGTCAATTGCACTTACGCGCCTATGTAGTAGGTCCAATGGATTTTTTTATAGATTTTGCCAGACGTGCAGCTCACGCATTAAAAATGCCATGCTCGGGTCCTGTCTATCTACCCACTCAAACAACTCGTTGGACTGTACCGCGTGGTTCTTTTATCCATAAAAAATCTCAAGAAAACTTTGAACGTAAAACCCATAAAAGATTGTTAGAAATAAAGGATGCAAATAAAGATGTTGTTAAAAGATGGCTATGGTATTTAGCCAATAATTGTCCTCCTGGTATTGGTATGAGAGTTACACTTTGGGAATGGGAAGAATTAGATTTCTCAAAAAAGAAAAATAAATTTCAAGAAAAA